GCTCCAGATGAGCCACAATTAAGAAGGTCAACTAGACCTCGCCAACCTTCCACTAGATATTCTCCTTATGAGTATGTGTTGGTCCACTGATGGGGAGAGCCAGAATACTTTGATAAAGCTATATCAAATGAGAAGAAAAGTGAGTGGTTGAAAGCAATGCAAGAAGAGATGAAATCCTTGCATGAAAACCATACCTTTGAGTTAGTGAAGCTTCCTAAAGGTAAGAGAGCACTCAAGAACAAATGGGTGTTCAGGTTGAAAATTGATGAACATTCCCCACAGCCAAGGTACAAGGCAAGATTGGTTGTGAAAGGCTTCGGACAGAAGAAAGGTATTGATTTTGAAGAAATCTTTTCACCAGTGGTCAAGATGTCTTCAATCCGAGTTGTGCTTGGCTTAGCTGCTAGTTTGAATCTTGAAGTAGAACAACTTGATGTGAAAACTGCCTTTCTCCATGGTGATTTGGATGAGGAGATCTACATGGAGCAGCCTGAAGGTTTTGAAGCAAAAGGTAAAGAGCAGCTAGTTTGTAAGTTGAAAAAGAGCTTATATGGGTTAAAGCAAGCTCCAAGACAATGGTATAAGAAGTTTGATTCTTTTATGGTGGATCATGGTTATGACAGGACCACTTCTGATCATTGTGTATTTATGAAAAGGTTTCCAGATGGAAACTTTATTATTCTCTTGTTGTATGTGGATGATATGTTGATTGTTGGCCATGATGCTAAGAAGATTCAGATGTTGAAGGAAGAGTTGAGCAAGTCTTTTGCAATGAAAGACTTGGGACCAGCAAAACAGATTCTTGGTATGAAGATCACACGTGACAGAAAGAAGGGAAAACTTTGGCTAAGATGCAGATATGGCTGGTGATGTTGATTCTAGAAAGTCCACATCAGGATACTTGATAAAGTTTGCAGGGGGAGCAGTCTCATGGCAATCAAGGTTGCAAAAATGTGTCGCATTATCCACTACAAAGGATGAATATATTGCTCTTACTGAAGGGGGCATAGAGTTGTTATGGATGAAGTGAAGAAGTTCTTGCATGAACTTGGCTTAGTTCAAGAGAACTTTGTGTTGCACTATGACAGTCAAAGTGCAATCCATCTCAGTAAGCATCCTACTTTTCACTCTCGATTAAAGCACATTGAAGTTAGATATCAATGGATTTGAGATGCTATAGAGATGAAGTCATTCATTGTTGAGAAGATCCATATTGATAACAGCGTGTCAGACATGATGACCAAACCTCTACAGAGAGAGAAGTTTGAGTTCTGCAAAAGGGAAGCAAGTTTGTCAGAGCCTTTTAAATTGAATTTTACATGTTGATTGCCAGTATGATGAATTCCTCACATGGTGCGTGAGGGGGAGATTTGTTGTGTGTGGTCCAACACCATGTGATGGTGGGACCACCATATTTATTGAGAGGAGAAGCAGCTGACCCCTTTAAAATTAAGTGGTTCGGGTACTGTAGCAGTAGAATTGAAAATAGAAGAGAGGAGAAGAAAATCAAGAGGGAAAAAGAGAAGAAGAGGCAGCAAAGCAGCCTGCGTTCTTCCTTTGATTTCCAGCTCGTTCACCGTTGGATCGGGCTAAGATTGTGACCTCAGCTTCTAGACATGTTGATCTTCATTTTGGACAGTTGGATCGAAGATTAGTGGTGTGGAAGCTGGCTGTTTTGACAAAAAAACGAGGTTGTCAGTATTGTGAGTTTTTCTCAAATAATTCTCCTTTAATCTTGTTGTAATCCAAGAATAAGTTGTTCTTGATGATATATATGTTGTATCCCTTAGTTGAATCTGAGGAATAATGATTGTGAACCCATTATTTGTTGATAGTGGAAGTTTTTAGGTGGACTACGGTCTCATGGTTTTTCCCGCATCGGGTTTTCCACGTTAAAAATCTTGGTGTTGATTTTGTGATTATTTGCACTATTTTTATCATTATTTGATTCTATTTTACTGCACAAAGAGGAAAAGAATTGGGACTTGTGAATTATGAATTGTATTTCGCTGAATTGATCCGGGTAAATTGGTGTCCGGTTGTTCCTAGTTTTCTCAACATGATTTAACTTAATTTTTCTATTTACTTTAGGGTTTGATATTGTTTCAAGCCAAAATTCATGCATATTAAGACGACTTTGTGGATTACTTTTATGATTTAGTGAATTAGATAATCAATTCACTTTAAGAGTTTTTTTTTAAAAAAAAAACTAGTACGAGGCAATTGCTTAAAAAAAAAAAAACTAGTACGAGGCAATTGCTTCCTCGTAACCTTACTTCATAGATAAAATATGAACCTAATCACGCACCTAATTAATGATCAAACGACATGTGCTCCACTAACTCCCAAAAATCTTTATTTCTCTTCATATTTTAGGTTGTACCAAACGTTTTATCTTCTTATTATTCCTTTTTTTTTTATTTGGTGCATACCAAACATTTTCTTAGTCGATGCCTAGAATCGAGTGTCCTTTATCACACAGCGACACGGCATGTTCTCACCTAATTCAAGTCGATCGTTAGGAGCCCAAAAAAAACCCATTCTGGTCGACAACGAAGTATGCAGGAACACATGCATGTTCATGAGAACAGAACCTTTCGAAATCTAAAAAAATGATTCCAATTATTATTTTGTCTTCTCAGTAGATGGGATGGTCTAACAAAGTTAATGCCTTCGGTGGAGAAGCAAAGCCCTAAATATATATTGCATGTCCAGCCGTAGACTATAGTTTTTATCTAAGTTTTAGTCCAAAGTCTCCGGCTCCTTCATGGCTTTGCACAGCCTACATTCAACTCTGATCAGTATATACTAAAGAAAATGCATTACATGTGGCAGTAGAGGAGAAAGTCTCACATCATTAACTTTGCCCTCTTTTCCAGTCTGACATCATTAACTTTGCCCTCCTTTCCAGAAGCTGACTACATGTATTTGAATATAAATTTGCAATTGATATTGAAAAAATATTAAAATAATAATATTTTTTTATATTTATTAAAAAATCATTTTAATTTATTAGCTTAAATTATTGGGAGAGATTTTAATATATCATTTGTATTATTATTTAGCATACCCTCTCAAGTAAAAACTGATTAAGTTTGAAATTTGCATAGACCTATACTATTTTATATGTAATTTTTATCAAATAAGTAGAACCAATAAGATTTATATTCATGACTGATTGGTCATTAAGATTCTAATACTATATCAAATAATTATCTAAATTTAATAGTTTAAATTATTAGGTAAGATGTTTAAATATGATTTATATTAGTATTTTTTTAATAATTTTAATATGTTAATATAAAAATTAAAAAATCTAAAAATATATTTTAATATATTTTTAAATAAAAAAAATATTATGAAACACATCGTAACATGTACTAAGCCTTTAACTTAGATATCAGAGCATTGATCTTTCTACTTGTTCATGGCTTAAGGAGTAGCCTTTGATGAATAATGCTTAGCTAGGATCTCCCCAAAACATTTTGAAATTGTTTATGTTATGGCCTGAACTTATATAATGTTTTAATATAATTATATTTTTTTTAACAATATATATATCATCTCATACATTAAATTAAATTATAGGTATATTTTATTAATGAATCTGGTAATTAAACCAATAATTGATATTTCTTTTTATAAATGAATTTTATAAAACTATTATGTAAGATTAACATAACTTTTAAATTTATATAATTCGTATGTATGGCCGGTCGAATAGAACCCTCTTAAAATCATTGAATAATGAAATTCTACACTGGAAATAACAAATTAAGCTATCATTATATTCTCAATATCTGAAAAATAAAGTCTTACATTACTGTGGATGAATGATTTCATAAACAATTTGTACTATTTTCTATCGTTAATTATATGTTTTCTCAACAATGTACCAGCTGTTGAGCGTACACTGCTGCTAATTAAGGGAGTGGAAACCGGAGATGATTCAACGAGTTGGCATGTGAAAACATGTGAACATGTTTCTGAATCATAAACTGGTTGATGTTGATTCCAATCTGTGGTATGAAACCCACAAAACTCTTATCTTGTTTCATGTGGTTTCTGACATCAAAATAATTTCATGTTGAAAAAAGAATTGGAAGATTTTCACACACAGAGATATATAAAAGCTGGGTCAGATGTGGTGGTTTTTTTAATGAATTACAGTCATGTCATGTGTGTCATCTATGACACCAACACTTGAAGATCTGATTTCATTTCAATGTCGTCTAACCTTAGCTTGTGCACAATGCATGCTGTTCACCAAGCAAGGTAATTGCATGGTCACAACCATTGGCAACTTAACCATCAAAGCTTTAATTCCGAGCTGGATACCATGATAAGATGATGCTCAGATTCGATGATGGATAGTATCTCTGCCTGGCTAGTTGAGCACTACCATGAAAGACTCAACTGCCTTTAGAAAGAAACTGGCCTTAGGCTTCCACGTTTTGCTGCGAGGAAAATAAAAAGAAATTAAAAAAAAGAACTAAGTTAAAAGTTTTATTATTATTATCATTGAAAAAAATCAAAATTACGAACTTGATTTTAAAAATAAAATAAAATTAAAAATTTATCAAAAGGAAAAGGGACAAAAATATAAAATTAAAAGCATAAGGACCAAATCAAAAATCATTATATATAAAAATTATAAACCAATGGTTAAATTGAAAATACATAAAGTTTTAACAAAATTAAAAATAACAAAAATTTAAAAATAAATTTAAAAAGACTAAATTTAAAATAGCAATAATACTAAGGACCATAATATATTTATCAGGATAAAAAAAAAATCACCAACATTAAACTAGAAATATTTGGATTGCACACACTATTTAGAATGAAAAAGAAGATGAAAAAGAATTGAATTATAAAGTGGAATCCTATTTTTTATCATTAGAAGATGTCGCAGGCACTATTCAAAAGACACAATATTTCTCTCTGTGCATGCAACAATATCTTTTTTTTAATTAAAAATATTATGATAATAGTAAATTATGACACTATCCTAATGCAAACCAATAATTAATAAAAAAAAATCAAAACCAAAAGACTCTAATACCCGTAGCTCCAATGTATTAAATTTCTTGGATACAAGGGTGCATTTATAATTTAATTGTATATAAAAACCAAAAATTCGTATTTACTCCTACCAAAAAAAATTTATTTTATTTTAATTGAACTTGACATTTTTATTCTTTTATTTTTCCTTATATAGTTAAAAAATAATTTTAAAAAATTCATGTTATTGTTCACAAGTTTAGATGGGGTTCATGGGTCTTGCTAAGTTTATATATATATATAGACTTTATCCTTAGATTTTAGGTTAATTGAAAACTTAATTTTATAATTGATTTTATTTTTTTTTCTATAAAATTATTATGTTTTTAATAATCGTCTCGGTATTGAGTTGGTATTTGATTTTGTGATCATCTATTTTTGTTATCATATAATTAATTAAAAAATAGTTTTGAAAAAAAAAATAATCTCAGTTAATCCATAACCTAGTTCATGGGTTTAGCATGCTAGTCCGAGTTATCTAATTCACATATTTGATGAATTTACCCACAAATCAAATATGTTTTTTTTTAGTGCTTTAATTGCTTTTATTTTTTTTTATTTCATCATTTAATATTAAATTAGTTAGAAAATAGATTGCATGATTTATTTTTGTTTGTTTTCTAGAAAGTTATCACTTTCTAGAAATAAGTGTTTATTTTAAGTTGATGCTTAATTTTATAAATATCTATTTTTATCATATAATTAATTTAAAAAAATTATTAAATCCAATAAAGTCCATGACTTGGATCGCGGGGGATCATGATTTATCTAATTTATCATTAAAAATTATTAAATCCAATAGAGTCCATGACTTGGATCGTGGGGGATCATGATTTATCTAATTTATCATCATCTTAATATTAAAAAATTATTATTATCTTGAAAAAATTTTAAAAGTGAAGTTATATTTTTACTGGTTATAAAATTACACTTAAATCTATAATATTGATTAATTTAAATTAAAATAATTTCCATAGAGTTTAATTAAAAACATCAGTTAAGTAAAAAGACGAGTAAGGAAATTTTAGAATTGTTCCGTATGATAATATTATCAAAAATTTATTCACATTCTTGAATTTTTTTTTTAAATTAAAAAAGAATCTGACCCACATGCAAATTGCGTACCAAAATACTGTTGTCAGCTAATTTTCAAGACCTTTCGGCCCACAGAGGCTCTGGCCTCCGAGCCTCAACGTCATTGTTCAAAATTTGAAAGACTCGACAGATGACCACTGAACATGCTAGGCATGGAGTACAAGCCCCACAAGTCTTAACAAACTGGGGATCACACACAAGAAGGCAGTTCTGAAGGTCAATAGAATGCCTTAATTAGATGAATGGGCAGACAACATGAGAAGACAAGAGCAGATTGTGGGGTTGGGTTGCTTTTCTGTACACATCATGAAGCCTACGACAGCCAAGAGCGTGCTTGAGATCCTTTCAGTGGGTCTCCACAAAGAAATTTTGGAACCAAGAGGCCTTCACTTCCATATTCATTTATGGCAAAGGATATGATCAAAATTCGGATGCAGTTTTTTACGACTCCTCTCTTTCAGACCTTCACATACTTGAATGGTTGGATTTTCTTCTTTGTTTTCTTCCATGGATGGATGGTCCCTATTGGCATTTTGTTTTCAATAAGTTGTGAGGGAGGAGGGTTCTTAAGAGAGTTGTTGCCAGCACAAAAAGGCTTGTTTCCATTGCTTTATGGGAACCTTGCGGCTTTTCGGCTAAATCTATCTACCTTTAACTTGTTCTTATGGGTGTGAGCTGTTGTTCTTATGGGTGTGAGCTGTGACTTTGCTTGCTACATATGATTGTGAGTTCAGATTTCTCTTTGTTCTCTCTGTTGAGCCATCGAAGGAAAAATTCAAAGTGATGATAATGCAACATCCGAACGTCTGGCCACGATCCGCTGCGCTAATCTGACCCTTAATTTGTACTCACAAATATAACGAGCTTATGATTAAATTGAAATTAAATTCAGAAATGAGAAGCTTTGGCAAAAGTACAACCCTGGAAAACTCAGGAGAATTTAAGTCGCTTATGATTAAATTGAAATTAAATTCAGAAATGAGAAGCTTTGGCAAAAGTACAACCCTGGAAAACTCAGGAGAATTTACTTGAATCTCGTAGGTGAATTGGGATTCATACAAGCTTAGAGCTGCTTCTACTTGCAGGATGTCAAATGCTCTTAGAGCAAAATGCACGCTACAAAACCCCAGGATTTCCAAAGACAAGAAGCATACAACAGATTTGCTGAGAAAGCACAATATTTGCAAGGAAAATCTGAGGAAGAAGACTGAAAATAAAAACTACTTCTAAAACCAAATTGGTTATTATTCTCCAGGAAATTTTAATGGGAACATAGTATTGGTTAAGGAAATGAGAAATGTTGAATGACTTTAAAAGGGAGCAGGAAATTTCAATGGAAACACAACATTGGTTATTGAAAGAGAAATGCAGAAGGACCGAACAATTTCTTATTCCTTGGAATAAAGAATATTATGGACTTGAAGTGAAGAACCTTAAAAAGAAGAAAACAACACAACATGACTTCGAACAGAGAACGCGAGAATTTGTTTCTGGCTCGTTCTCTTTAAAATTCTAGCTGTACAGCATGTGGATAAATCAGAGCCTTGTAATATTGTTCTTGGGTTCTTACCTTTTTATTTAAAACAAATTGTAAAATAGTTGGAACATAAGGCAAGTTCGAGCACCGATTCCCTCTCCTTTTTTCTCCACAGAATAACTAGAGGAGGATGAACTTTAAGAAAGGCAACGCAAAGTGTTCCATAGGGCGCTTCTCTTCAGACATCGATCACTCCTTTCTTGCCCCTGGATTCCATCAACTTCGATCCTTTCAGTTATCAGTTGGTTACTTGACTTGAAGCATTGATTATTATGGAATCAAGCATGCAATTTCTTCATTTTTGTCTGGTGTTTAACCATGATTCAATTATACTAGCCCACAATACCATTGCAATTAACCTGCAGCTATTGTCTCCGTCCTCATGATTCAATTATGGAAGAAGCTGAAAATACTCAAGGAGCCATTGAAGCAGCTGGATTGAAGTTTCTATGGCGGTAAAAGTTAAACAGACAAGTGAGTTTGAACACAGGCAAGAATACCATGAACCTGAAGCGAAGAGCCCTAAATGAAGAAAAGAACACAACATTGTAAGGATTACGGACACCACCTATCTCCACATTGGTATGATATTGTCCACTTTGGGCCTAAACCCTCATGGATTTGCTCTTGGGTTATACCCAAAAGGCCTCATACCAATGGAGATATTTGTCCATCCTTATATACCCTTGATCCTCCCCATTTCTAACCAATGTGGGACTTTGGTCGCATACTCAACAATTCGTCCCTCGAACAAAGGACCACCGAGCCTCTCCTCAAACGATCATTTATCCATCCACTCTCTACCAAC